GTGTTCATATCTCAGCAGACAAGACTCGTTTCCCTATTTGCGCCAGATTGTTGTGCAGTATTAAGCCCCTGTTTGTCTATCATTATTTCAAAATCCTTGTTTTCTTAAACTCATTTTCAACCTCACATTCTCACAATAAATATTTTGCACATAAACTCAAAACATTTTCCTACTTTTTAACCACGCATTCTCCAAAAATTCACTATTCCAAAACTCATTTCCCTACTTCAATGGTAGACGAACTGGGGCTAATTGATTCAGTGATATAGTAAGAAAATTACATGGTTTAGTCAAAGGCGCTGACTGAATTTATATTATCTTAGGTGTCTTTTTGTTGCCTATACTAATGGAGTTGATAAATAGATTCAATGATCCAAGGTACTAACTACCATACTAGTGTCATATTCCATAATCATGATTAGTTCACTCATGTCATACAATTAGGTCGATGGCTAATGGATTTACATTTGGGAAAAACTTTGCTAACAGCTGACAGGGATGTGGTGGAAGTTGCAGAATATATATTGTTGCATCCTCATCTAGGATGAAATCGAAATCAGATTCAGTGGGAGTGCCAGAACCTACAAAACATGTAATCAACATGAGAAATTTTTTTTGTGAAAACTAAAAACCACTGCTTAATTATGTGAAAATTCGATAATCAGCTTATTTCAGTTATAAATTGGTAAAAATTAAAAAATTCACCTTTGTCACCAAGCAAATTTGATGCACGTGATCCTTTCCCTCGAACAAAGGTTTTCTGTTCATAAGTTCCATGAAGATGCAACCTACGGAACACACGTCTATTGTTGTAATATATTTCCGAGGAATCAACAGCTCGGGTTCCCGGTACTATCTGGTTAAAAAAATTTCTGTCATGAACTCATTATACAAAGTAGGCCGTGCAAGACCAAAATCACAAATTGTAAGATCACAATAAGCATTCAGCACCAGGTTGCTGGGCTTAAAATCTCTATGGATTACGTTATCCGAATGTATGTATTTCAACCCTCGAAGGATCTGATACGGGAAATACTGAAAGTAGACAAGTTCTAAAGAAAATGTCAGTTCTGGCTTTCAACATTCAAATTACTCAAGAATAAAAATTATACCTGACAATTTTCTTCGGACAAGCTCTGATTAAATCTAATTATCTGATGAAGATCCGTCTCCATGGGTTCAGTGGCATTGTATACATTGGTTAATTCCGTTCTTGAAGGAGGAAAAATTACATCTCTTATGCTAATCACCTGTTTCACATTTCTTGAGCTTAAAGGAGGAGGTGATTTTGTGGACACAGCATCTATTAATAATCTGGGGATTTCTCCAAGTCAAATGGAAAAAAGTAACTGTCTGCTCATAAGTGAGGCCCTTAATTGTTAATTGGACTCTGTATGCCTTTGAATTTACAGTTAGTGAGCAGTCCTCATCCTCAGCATCATGTAAACAAGAGAAGCCATTATTTGATGGTACCCATTTTTCCATTTTGTTTTACAGAAGACCGAAACATAATAATTTTTAAAATCTATATTAGTTCTATCTGTCGTAGAATTTTCCTATAAGAACCAATGTGGTGGTAGATAAAGATTCTACTTTTTTGCGATAAATCTGTAGGTGCCAGAGAAGCTCTCAGTGCCCAATGTGTTGGCAGTCCATCAGCCTGAAGGATCCCAGCAGGTAAACTAATTTGACCTTTCCCTTCTTGTGAAGTTGCTAAACTGTTACTCGATGTTCTTATTTGAGGAGGGGCCTTATTATGTGTTTGTTTGGCAGCCAGGAATTGCTTGATGCTGTGGAACATGAGAGAAATATGTGGATTAATCCACCTAGAAACACCGCTATATTTCATCATCCAGCCCTGGGAGAGTTCGAATTACAGCATGTCTGTGATCCTCTCCTAATTTTTATGGACATTTCTCTCATCTTCATTTTCAATTTAGTGACCTAATTTTGATGGCTTGATCAGGTAATATGATTTTTTCTTCAACTCGTTGCAGATACCTGTTAGTGCTAGTGATTCTGAACTTATCAATTTAGTGACCTAATTTTGATGGCTAGATCAGGTAATATGACTTTTTCTTCAACTCGTTGCAGATACCTGTTAGTGCAAGTGATTCTGAACTTGAAGAGCGCATCATTCAGCACTTAGCTGCTGCTGCTGCGATGGGAAGGGCTCGTCAGCTTGCCAGGAGGGAAGGTCAGAGGAGTAGGTCTTCTACTCAAGGTCGTCCCCAATTTTTGGTGTTCTCAAGTAATCCAAATCCAATTTCTGCTAATTCGCCTGCTTTATCTCCCGCTCAGAGAGGTGGTCCTGGACCACTTCCTGCAGCCATGATAGCTAGCCCGAATTCACCATTTATTACCCTTGGAGAAGATTCTGCACATCTTATTACCCCACAATCTTTCTCCCAAGCTGACCACATCACTACAGCATCAGTATCAGGTGCTGTTGCTAATCAACTTGGAACTTCCTCGAGCAATTGGTATATCTTTGATCTTTGTTTCAAGTTTACAACTCCCTCAAGCAGTTGGCTATGCGTTTAGTTTGCTGTTCATTGCAGCTTATTTGTTATGTTGTCTTGTAGGAGGTCTCCTGCTCAGACTTCCCCCAATAGTCAAGATAGAGCTGGACCATCAGATTTCCAATCATTCTCTGAGACACTGAAATCTCGACTAAGTGCATTATCTGTGAGGTAGCATAAAACTGGGCTGCTTGTTATTTACTCCCTTAGTGTCATGTTAGCGTCATGTTAAGTTTTCTGGATGTGCCAAGCCACTTTTTATCCGCACATTTCGAGGGATCCACGAGTAATTCATTTATAATTTAAACTGTTTATAAACATTTCACAAACATGCTCTTAGCTTCCAGTTTGAGATTTGAAGCATGTGTGCTACTCATTGCCCTTCAACTTGACTATAATCATAAAAAGAACAAGAACAAAAGGAGCAAAAAGTTTGTTGGAGGGGCAGTGCAGATATTAAATCTTTATACTCAACCAAAACACTTATAAATACTTTTGACTCCCGAAAGGATTTCTGTCTAGGGCGGAGGAGTAAATTTTTTCTTGACGAATCCATGTGCTATGTGCCTTTTCTTTTTCCCCAGATACAAGGAGTCCATAACAAAGAGCACAAGAGGCTGGAAGGAGAGATTGTTTGCTCGCAACATTTCAACGCCTGAACCTGGCACTGAAGTTCATAGAGAGGTTGACTTTGCTCGCAACATTTCAATGCGTGACCCTGGCCTTGAAGTTCGTAGAGAGGTTGACCAGGGTACCGCGACTGTATCACGCATAGTGGATTATCTTGAGATTTCAGAAGATAGTAGAACCGACATGGCTCCAATATCAAATAATTTAGATGATAACTCGACTTCAGATACAGTGGAAAACGAGACTGTAGAGATGGGTGGAAACTCTCCTTTGACCGAGGTAGAAACACGGGCTCCTTGTGCTGCTACTTCTACATCAAACTAAGTGTTGATTCAGCAATTGTATCAAACTCGTCTTGTTTCCTTTTGATGGTTAGTTCCATTCTGGGTAGTGTCATGACAGAGTCTTTGATACGTTCATGTTTTACTTTTGTTGTCATTGCATTTGAAATACAGAGATCAACTCAGGGTAGGCGATTAGTTTTAAAGATGGAGAGCGTTCCTTCGTCGACACTAAGTTGAGTTTCTAGTATATGATTGCACTAGCAATCCGATTAGTTAGCTTCCGTTGGCATTAAAGCCGGCAACCGAATCTCCTAGATTTTGTCAATGCTGACTAGGATTTCAAAGGTTAATGCTTGCATGAACGCCTGGAAAAATTCTTGGGTTTCTGACACTGAGCATGTAGCATGCACATGGAGCACTATGGTCCATTTAGGGACTGGAAGTCGATTCATTCTTGGGGTCATAGTACAAGTTTTTTTGGTGTTTCTTGTTGGAATCATTTTTTATGATGTTTGTGTAGTAAAATTTATGTTGTCTGATTGTCTCTCTTATCAGGTGAATGCATCACGGTTTCTGTGATGATAATGTTCGTAGTCAGTCTCAAGTTATGGTAACTCAAAATCATGGGTAAGAGCATTCAGAGTCTGATGCAATAAGAGAACAGTGTTCTTCATTTGGACCTTCAAATGAATATGCCTAGGATGCTGTAGTTGTACATTGATCTTTAATTTTAAAATCATTTACGAATGTTTATTGTCATTGAGCATGTTATTGTAGTGAATTGGGTTATGTTACTCGATGCGCTGGATAAGTAACGACTATTAAATTTGTACTAATCTGTAACGAGAATTTTTTACTTTCCCGAGTCAAGTCTTGACTTGTGATTTGGTTTATTTGCATGTTTTGGCTTCTTGTCGAATATCTGGACATTAAAAGTTGTTTGCTGTTAGCATGTCACCAGACACCAGTAGTACATAATTGGCAAATTTTGAACTGCTTATGGTTTAGTTGGGAAGTTGCTGCTAACTTTGCCGTAGCTGTTAATTGCTTTTGAAATGACTTGTTCATGCACTGGCCATGAAGCCTTTCGTTTGACATCGATTTACGCCATTTGATTCTATAATTTTGTGCAGCGCCTCGAATTTCGAAGGTAGACTTATAATCAAATGGTCGACATTGCACTAGCCATGAGCACATTGAGCCTGGACAAGTTGGCCAAAATACCAGATTCGATGTCATTAGATCTGAATGGTGCTTTCTATTCTTCCATTTTGTTGAGCCAATTTACACTATGAACTCAAAATGGCAAACATGGGAAAAAACTGGAAAGTTTACTATGCACAAAAAAGCAAGGAAATGCAACAAGCTCACGTCCCATGTGCATAATACATCCTCGCTCGTTCAGGAAAATATATCACAATCGAAGGTAAACACCAAAATATTTCCTCCATATAATAGCCGCAATAACATCCTCGACCCTCACAAAAACAACCGAAAAAAGGAGGGAAGAAGATGAGGCTACTTACATGGGTTATGTATGATTATTTCAGAGTTAATCAGATTTTCATTTCTTCTTCCTTGTTGCGGATCCAGAACCACGACCCCCTTTCTTTTCAGTCGCTTGAGAACTCCCCTTTCCTCTGCCCGCAGGTGCTCTTTTGGCACTTGAGCTTCCTGAACCCTTCAAGTCCATTTGGACTTGGATGCCTAAAAAAAAAAGATCGGTCGCAAATAAAATATAATCAAAGAACAATGATAGCTGTACATAATGGAGTTACATAATGGTTTACATATAAATGAGCTATCAAAAAGAGAGTTGAGAAGTTTTTGTTTTATTTGATTGAAGAAATTTTGATCAAATCATATCTCACATCATGTGTATGTAAACAATTATGTATATGTAGCAAAACCAAAAAACCTTTCAATTTAACCAGTACTAAATAAAAAGTACAGATAATATAGACGGGAGTATGTCACCAACCCTTTGAATTAAGACTCTCTAGATCTGTTTGCAGCTTCTTCTCTGCGTCTGCTGAGTCTTCTGATACAAACCACAGGCCAAAAAGTAAATAATTTTCAATAATATTTCTTTGCAAGTGCCTGAAGTATGAAAAAGTAAAATGATTGATTTCATGTAAATCATCTCTTCAACAACAAAAATATGACAAAAAACAAATTATGTCAAAAGATAAGCAGACATAATGACAAAACAATGCAACAGCAGATCTAAAAATAGAAAGGAAAAGGTAAACAAGGATTCTCTCTTCAATGGAGAGAGAAATTACCCAGTTCTTCCGTGTCAGACAGGTTTTCTTCTTCATTTACAGCAAATTCTTCACCATTTTCTTCCGCAGAAGGATCAGTTACGGGTTCGAGCATTGCTGCAACCCTCTTTTTAGGAGCCTTTTTCATTCCAGGAAGTTTGATGAGATCTGCAGTCCGAATCACACGTGATGAGCTGCCTTTATTGTATGCTCTTGTCAATGCAGCTTTTACTGCAGGCTGTATGCCATCCAATGGATTCGGGTGCCCCTGATGAATGTATATATTTAATATAAGTGGATGAGAAGAATCTCAAGTACATTCATATAAGATCCCGGAAATACAAAATGCCATTAAATATACCTTAAACTTTGATATCTCAACAATTGTATCAAAGTCCTCCATGCTAATGGAGTAAAAATCCATAAACTCAACAACCTTTTCAACAGCTTCATCCTGGAAATTATTCCACAAAAAAGCATGTTTAAAAAAGGAAACCAAAATCATCACATTTTTGGAACTACCGACCAGAGAGCAACGTCAACCTTAGGTAGCACCCTTAAGGGATTGGTCAACTGCGTCGTCATAAGAGTAAGATAATCAAGTCGCAATGTTGTCCTGTCATTTGGTAGCAGCAGAATTGTTAAGAAGCAGAAGATGGAAAACAATTACAATGAGTTGCAAGGGTGAAAAAATGGACTTAAGGAATTGTATAATAACTAGACATGAAACATTAAAAAGGTGAGATAATAGTAAAAATGACACAAACAATTTAAAGTTCGATAGCATGAGAAGGAAAAGAGAAGTGGTGAATTAATGAATTGGAAGACTAGGCATGCTTTCTTTTTTTATATTGCAGAAGCGAGATCTTTTGTACAAATGTTTAATCCAATTATATGATGGCCATAATAATTATCACAAAATCCATGTGATGGCTATAATTATTATCACAAAATAAATATGTAACACGCACCTTCCCAAATTGGATTCATGAGATGCAAGAAGATGAACGTGCAGATCCTCCAGAAGTCTGTAATTCTTTCCCAATGTAGAGTTCTTTCCCAGCCACCCACCAAATCTATTGTAATTGTTTTCTCCCTGCAAAAGACATTATTTTCTTAATAAGGGTAATGTAAATTTAGATCAGTCATCAATAAAATCATGCAAGTGAAAACACTACAAAGAAGTGTCAAAATATAAAAATGACATCAAGATGCCAAATCAACATTTGAGGATCTAAAATTGCATCCAACGTTTTCAAAGTTCCAAGTACAAGAAACTTCAAATGATTTGTAAATGTAAAAAGCATGACACAATCACACATAACTGGAAAGCAAAAAACCTCTAGTCAGTGAAAAAGTGGATGAAGAAAGTTAATATGATATCATAAAATTTCCAAAAAAAAATTGTTTTACTTCTTTAAATTCTATATCAATGGATTATTACATATACATATCATTTCTTCCACTAAAAGAAACCATAATACATATAACTAAAAGTATTTTCATTGCCATTACCAGAAGTACCAACTCCGTACATATAAAACTTGTTTATAAATAATACAACATTCACAATTCTACAGTGTTTATGATGTCAACAATTTCATCAAGAAGCAGCTTAGGATTACCAAATTTGTGCAACGTTAATTAAATAGTTTCAAGGCATTCAACCAATGACAAGTCCTAAGTAGTTTTAGAAACCACAGCATTTACATTTCTGTCACTTTAGGATTCTCTCCGAAAGTGGGTAGCAAGGTGTTATTAGGAAGAAAAATTGACAAATATACAAGTTCAGAGATAATAGCACAGAAAACTGTTACGTTTGTAATACCCGTACCTATGGCCTAATTTTATCNAATCAAAATTCAAGTATTGAATTAAAAATTAAATATCATACTCACCCTACCTAATCCCAACCCCTAAATCATTTTTCTTCTACCTTTCCTTCTCTCCTCGTCTCTCTACCCTCTCCATTTTCATCTACCCTTAGATCGCTGTCACCATTGAGGAGCTCCCACCGCCGGAGGGTCGAGCAGTGGCGTCGTCGCTGTTGTGCCCGCCCTCGCAACCGGCGATGTGAGCGCCAACAGCGGCATCGCCCTCGCCGCTGCTAAAGTTCGATAGGAGCACCCGTCGTCGGAGACACCTCCAAACGCCGCTACAAGGCCCTTTGATGTGAGAGTATCGCGACGGCATCGTCGCTACTGTGCTTTGCCCTCACAGCCGGCGATGTGAGCATCGGCAGCGGCATCACCCTCGCCGCTACTACAGTTAGTTAGGGGCTCTATGGGAACCTGCTTTCTTTTGTGGTAGTGACGACAGTGTGTAGTGAGTGCTGTGAGGTGGTGTGGGTGTTGTTTTGGCGGTGTTGCTGGTGGTGGTGACTGGTGGTCTGTGGCTGCATTTCAGTCTCTTCCGCCGTAGATGGCGGCTTATGGGTGGTCTGTGGTGGAGTTAATTGTCGGGTTTCATCGGCCATTTTTCGAGATCGAGAGAGAAAATTTGGGGAGAGATCTAAGGTGTTTTGTGTGGTGGCATCTGTGGTGGTGGCAGTCGACGGTGGTGTAGGTGGAGGATCTGGCGGATCTGGTAATTTTGGTTTTGTAACTAAAAATTTAATCTGTGACCTTAAAATTTGGTAATCTGTAACTAAAAATATAATCTGACCTAAAAATTATATAATCTGTAACCGTGAAAAAATTTGTGACCAACTAATTTGAAAATCTGTGACTGTGTGACCTATAAATTTTGATCTATGACCAACTAATTTTGGAACAAAAATGCTACTTGTACATCAAGAATTGTACATCA